TTTCCCCCCCCCCCCCCCCCCAAGTCATGGTTGTAAATTCGATTTACTTTTTTATGTGCAAATTTTGCTTTTTAATTTCATATTTCAATATTTAACTGTTACAAGTTAACTTTTTAAGAAGAGTCTGTTAAGACATTGTTTGAATTCAGGATGTTCTCTTTCCAATTTCCCCCAAGTCATGGTTGCAAATTCGATTACTTCTCTATGTGCCAATTTTGCTTTTTAAGTTCATATTTCAATATTTAACTGTTACAAGTTTACTTTTTAATGGAATTTCACAAAAGTTGTCAAGACACTGTTTGAATTCAAGATGTTCTCTTTCCAATCCCCCCAAGTCATGGTTGTAAATTTGATTTACTTCTGTATGTGACAATTTTGCTTTTGCATCAAAGTAGATTTTTCTTCACTTTTTATATACTATTAACCCTTGCAATTTAATGAATAAAATGTTGTCTTTGTTATTATTCAGCATATTTTTAAGTCACATTTTCACTTTTTTTTTCAATTTACAGGAAAAAATAATTTTGGGTGTGTGACTGACTATTGCATTGAATGGAGAAGTCATCTGGGGAGGGGCGTGTTTGTTACAGCAAAAATTAATTTCTAGATGGATCTGGGTTGATTGATAATTTCACCATTTAATAAAATGCAATTAATTTCGTGTCAAGCACCCCCTGCCCCCCCCCCCCAAAAAAAAAGGTGGGCAGCTGAAAAGAGACCCTGAGTGTTAGTTCTCACCATAATATGAAAGCAAAGAAGTCTACACAGAAAATAAAAACTTACAAAAATTTGCCCCATCTGACCTTGAAATCCTCTAATCCAAGGTCAGATCTAAATATTACGGATTTCTGTAAGACTTTTGAAGTAAATTTTCCCATATTACTTTTACATTTTGGAGACATTTTGCATTTTGAAAAATTTTGACAACAGTGCATTGCAACAGTGTTACACCTATGCAAATGCGAAAATAGAACCAAAAATGTAGGGGACCCAATTTGAGATCAGGTGTGACCTAGGTTCATAAGGTAGGACACAGGTTTTTGCAGTTTATGAGATGTGGTTATGGTGACTCCCATCTGTTGATATGCAGGCTAAACCATGTACACACTCAGTGCTAACACTGGTGGTACAATAAAGCTACCAAAACAAGGACCAGTGATGAAAAGTACCAGCATTTCCACACGTTTAATTCATTTTCTTGCATAAGAACTTTTTCCATGCACAATTCATCAGTTAAACACCCATCTTTTGACATCTAGCATGGTTACAGTTACCTTCTAAGACATCAGCTGTAGTAACAAATATTTGGGTGCAATGCTAAGGATACTAAATGATCTCTGTGGCTCTTTTATAATTTTGCCAACTACTTATGTCTTATTCCCTTACATCGATTTTTTCCCTCTGACCATGTCAAGGGTGATTTAAGCCTTTTCACATCAATCTTTACAGCTGTAGTGGCATGTTTTATCTGAAACTGACAATCTCTCAGCTGAATAAAATCTCCAGCAATGCTAGCTAAAGCTATCCAGTAAGCTGTGCACGACTGGAAGTACATTTGACTGATCTCAAAACTGTCGTTTTTAAACTAGGAGTCCTCTCCCGCAGCCTCTAAGACAGCCCCACTGTAAGCCAAGTCCCAGTACTGTTCAACTCCAGTCTTTTTGAACTGTTCTCTAGCAAATGACTCTGTTGGACATGCCTTGAATTTGATATCGCCAAATGATCTGTTCATTGCTGTGCCCTGAAACACAGAAATGCTCCATTTAACAAGACATTAAATGCACACACATTACACAAATATACATTACATATAATATGCAATTATTAATTAACAGTTGTACAGAAAAAAAGAAAACTTCACAGTGACGTTATAGTTAATACTTAGACTGTAAATGACCATGGATAAAAACATGAAAGAAAATATTTACCTCCCAAACTAAAACACACTTGTTCTCCGTCTTCTCATCATTGTCTTTATCATCTGAAATCAAGAAACACAATCAAGAAATACACAGCATGTTACAAGATATGGCTGTACCCTTTCATACTTTAATCAAAACATTTTAATAAAAGATTCTGATTTTGTAAGAATTATTATGAGAAAAGCTTAAAAATAAACCATTTTCATTCTTTTATGAATTATAATAGATTGTGATGAAATTTTTAAGTAAAGATAGAGAAAAGATTGACATATTAATCATTCAAGTTCCAGTCTCCTTTAAAAGTTGAATCTTTCTCTCTCTACACACACACACACACACACACACACACATACACATACACACACACACACACACACACACACACACACACACTCCTACCATCTTTAGATGCCTTATTATCTTCATTCCATTTAATCCTGCGAAGCATTAATCTCTTGAACTTTTTCTGTTGTTTAGGGCCTCCTTCCACAACGACCACATTGCAATCTCTGTACAGGACTACTATACCAGTCATGAAGAGCTGTTTACAGTTGGCTTCTATTTTAAACTTCTTTGCTGGGTTGTTAAGATTGTTAACCCTTTAGTAAAGAATCAAATTCGAAATGGAATTAATAATAATAATAATAATAATAATAATAATAATAATAATAATGAACAAAATATCTACACAAATAAATATATCCGAGTATCATTTTTAAACGTTTTTTATCCAAGTTGATAACTTTGATTTACATGACTTATTTTTCTCAAAATTATGTACATACATTCCTGAAGCACACAAAGAATACAATACCTATATAAAGCAATGTGGACCCCTAATGATGTATCTTCTTTTAATTTTTTCATTTTTTTCTCTCTCCTCTGTTCCTCTGTCAACTTTCTGGCTGCATTTGTTTCTTCATGAACTCTGACACAAATAAGTAAGTAAATAAATATATTTTAATTGCAAAGATTGCACTTTCTATTGGAAGGAATTATAATATGCTATGTTAAACATTTACTGATTTATTTACAAGCTTGCATTATGATCTTTGAATTGCCTCCAATTTTATATCAAAACATACATCCCCTCAAAATTATTGATACTAGAAAACATGAAAATGTTTGAAAAAAAAAAAAAAACACTGGTAAATGAAACCATAACAAACACCAATGTATGTTGTTATAGCCCAAATCATAACAAAACATTATGCAGCTGATATCACGTCATGGAACAGTGCACTGCATACCTTATGACCACTTATGTATTGGTATAAAAACATGACCTTACTTCTGCCTCTTTGCCATCTGTGCCCTAACATGTGCTTCCACTTTGGTTGGGTCCTGTACCGCTTCAGTTCCCAGAACCCTCATAAGGTTAGCCATTCTTACTGCAAATGATAACATACATTTTAATTTATATATATTGGGGATATTGGTCACCTTTCTGGTATATTAGGTATGTCATGTTTTTTTTTTTTTGTACAAGACAAATTATAATACCATGTTTAGAGCTCAAATGGATCATCTAACTAGCAATATTTTATGATTTCAAGACAGAAGCAGAATATGCATGCTGTAATGAAAAATTTTGACAATTATTTCTTGAAATATTCAAAACTCATTTATACGTAACACACTGGCCATTACTCCATACCAAAAAGTAATACGTTGAAATGACTGAAATTAAGCAAGCTTAAGTGTTCAACTACCTTTAGGCTCTGGTGGGGGTAATAAACCTAATCTGATCTTCTCTGTTAGTTCTTTCTGGGCTTCTCCTCTGTTCTGCCTCCTTAATTTCTTTCTTTCCTTCTTTGTTAAATATACAGGTATCACTACTTCTTTTTCAGGTTCAGCTTTAGTTAAAATAAAACAATGTAGTTAACACATCACAATATAGAAGTGTAACACATTATAAATTCTATCCCATTCACGTAACCTACAGATTAATTAACCTAATGAAATGATCTACAGCAGATGTTTATTTATAATGTGTGTCATCATTATTTGTTTATTTATTTTAGGATTTATGTACTTGAGTGATGGAGAAAACTTCCCTTTACCTGGTGGTTTCATCTGTATGGGATGTTCCACCAAATGTGTTACACCAATTATTTTCTCTTCTTGCTGTCCATCTTCTGATATTGGAGTTTCTTCATCAAGGCAGTCATATCTGAAAACGGAATATCACATTTGCTAACGGGTTGTGATTCTTATTATTATAATACTACTACTATCACTAATAATTACAATAATAATAATAAACAGTTCTTAAGGACCACACTCTCATATGCCAACTACAATTACCAATTACATGTATACTATGTGCATATAAAATGAAACATTATTATCCATTGAAAATAAACCATTTATAAGACACAAACTTTTGGAATAAGAGCAGTGACACACCGTGGGCAAATCAGGAAGTTTTGCATTACATCCCAAAGAAATACAAACAACAGTATTTTAGTACTTCAAGTACTTTTCAGGCACAGTATTTCATTTTTTTACATTATCATATATCTCCTCTGTAAGGTGCATCATGCTACCAAATTGGTCCATACCTTTCCCCTCTCAGTATCACCGAGTCCCACCATTCAACTTCTGGAATCTCATCATCTCTCTGCAATAAAAGTGGAGGGTATGAAGGGGACAGAATTATTATTAATGAGGTTTGGGGCAGCAGGAACTATACAATGAGGAAAACAGATATGTTCCATTCAGGATTTTTAAAGTTCTTTTGTTAGTACAAAAATGATAACTAGAAAAGACAGAAAAGTTAGTCTCTTACATTGACAGCCATTATACCCCCCCCCCCCCCACACACACACACAAGAAAGAAATTATAAGTAACTGAATATCTTACGTATTCCTTCTTGGGTTGGATGGTTGCTAGTTTGGCTGCTGAGGCTATCCCAGTCTTTTTTGCTGCTTGAGCAATCTCACTTTGAAGTTTTTCTAGTTGGGCCTATATAGAATAAAAAGTTTGGGTAATGTAAAAAAAGTTGCTGGTTAAGGAAAAAGAAAAATGGCATATTCTTTCATGATATCAAATATGGTAATTGGAGCAATCATAGTATGCTTGGTTTCCCTGTAACTGTTTAATTTTGATTTTTTTTCCCCATTTGTATCTATAATGGTTCAAGATTAATCCTTTCCACATTTTCTTCTCCATTTTTGATATACTTTACATCGACAAAATTTAAATAGTAAAATCCATTTGTGATTTCTTCAAGAACATGTCTCTATAACAAATGTTTTACCTTAGTTCTCATCCTGCCAGCAATTTGTTCAAACTTGCCTGGTTCATGAAACTTGAACCCTCGTCTCTGTCTCAAGGGACCTTTGCCACTATTAAATACAAATTAATACCACTTACTTTCTCTAAAGTCAATGCAGTTGTTAAACCAAAAAAAAAAAAAAAAAAAAAAAAAAAAAAAAAAAAAAAAAAAAAAAAAACTATTTACTCTGTACTTTAAACTTTCCAACTGACAACCAAACACTTCTATATCTATTTAATCTATTTAGGGACATTTGTAATATTCTATGTACATACACATAAAATACCAACATGATTACCATGGGAGTGCCGTATTAGAATAATGCATACACATACATGTGTATAGATATAGTACAAAAGAAAAAGACATTACCCTACTCTCTCATCAAAGAACTTGGATTCACTTATTTCTTCTGGTGGCTTTTCTTGTACTATCTTGAACTGCTCCCGCCTCTTGGCACGGATATTTGCCTAAGAATAAATAAATAAATAAATAAATAATAAAAAATACATAATCATTTCTGAAGTCCTTTTTCAAATCACTCTGCACACAGAATCGTTTAAAAATCCTCATTGCTAAAGATATACAGTTTACACTACATATAAAAAACTAGTCATAAAAATCTAGCAGGCATGCTAAATAACAGAATCCCCAGTATTTTTTCTAGTCTCAGACTATAAAGCTGACCTTGAGTGTGGGTGTATACTGAGTGAGCTGGATAGCCTGTCCTGTAGCCTCGTCTATTATCCTGCCCTCTGCATCCAAGATCACTGGAGCAGGCCTGAAATGTTTGAATCCCATTGTTTATAAACATACACACACACACACATGGACCATATAGATCTTTTTAAAATAGTTCTTATTAAACAATATTTCTGATTTAATATACAGTGTGCCAGGAATAAAAAATCTACTAAATGTGTGACAAAAAGGGAACACCTCAGTTATAAGATCATAAAAGAGCTTTACAGCAAAATATGTTGAGAAGCTTTTACTTACTTTGAGGATGACATGACCTTCCTGAAAAAGACAAAAATAAATAACAAGTAAATAAATTGATAAATAAAAACTTTTAGAAAAAAAATCCAAATAATGCAAACAGGATTCCAAATTGAGCTTGTATTCAAGTCTTTTTCTTGTAAGTAGAAGGTGCTAAATACCAAAATCTAAAATCAAAGACAATGGTATCATCAAACTTAGGACTCCAACTGTAAAGATATCAAATTAAAAACATTTACAACCATTACCATTTTCTCAAACACACAAGTAAACTATAACTACTAGATGCCCCATCTCTTCTTCTACATGACATACCTCAATAGGCCCAATACTTACTGTTGCTGTTGCTGCTGCAGTCCCAGCATGGTAGTGGCGAGTCCAGATGTCATCATCTGTGACTGGATCCTGGCCTGCAGCTCAGCAGCTCTCTTGGCCTTCTCCACAGCATCCTCCATGAACCCCTGGGGCATCTGGGGCACCTGAGACAGAGACCCCGAGGACGCTGGTGGGATCTAAATGTTACAGTATATGAATTTATGCTCTCAGAACAGAAACTCTGATCAAACTGAAGGCTAGTTTTGTAACATTTTTGTTTGTGGAAATTTTATTAGTATCAGACAAACTTCTGAAACTGTTGTTTTGAAGATATTTAAGATTTTTGCTTATGAGATAACTTTTCACTATAATATTTATTCAGGTAAACAGAAATCTTACCACTGCTCCTAACTGTGCCTTTCTTTCCTGGATTGCCTTCTGCGCATTGGCCATAAGCTCCTTGATCTAGCAAACAGAACAACATATCTAATATAGGTATTCTACTACATTTCTTTTACATCTCCCAGTTTAATTTTTCTGATGTCTCTACATTCTTCCATTAAATCACCCATTTATACCATGTCCACAACTGTTCAGAGAATTATGATTCATAAACCAGTTTCTGATTTCATCGCTTTTTAGTTTTATAAGACAGTGCTATAATGTAGATTGAGACCAATGAATTTTCTCTGGGATGGTAAAAAAAGGTTTACAGATTGTACTTTTATCAACCCTTCTGAGTAGGGTATACTTTGGTAATAAAATAAAAATTGCTGAAATTTCAAGGAAAACTGATTTTTTCCTATATTAAGGTTTAAGGCCCATTGTAAGCCATTAAACTCAAGTCTTNCCCCCCCCCCACCCCACACACACACACACACACAAGAAAGAAATTATAAGTAGCTCAAAACTGAATATCTTACGTATTCCTTCTTGGGCTGGATGGTTGCTAGTTTGGCTGCTGAGGCTATCCCAGTCTTTTTTGCTGCTTGAGCAATCTCACTTTGGAGTTTTTCTAGTTGGGCCTATATAGAAAAAAAAGTTTGGGTAATGTAAAAAAAATTGCTAGTTAAGGAAAAAGAAAAATGGCATATTCTTTCATGTTATCAAGTATGGTAATTGGAGCAATCATAGTATGCTTGGTTTCCCTGTAACTGTTAAATTTTGATTTTTATTCCCCCCATTTGCATCTATAATGGTTCAAGATTAATCCTTTCCACATTTTCTTCTCCATTTTTGATATACTTTACATCAACAAAATTTAAATAGCAAAATCCATTTGTGATTTCTTCAAGAACATGTCTCTACAACAAATGTTTTACCTTAGTTCTCATCCTGCCAGCAATTTGTTCAAACTTTCCTGGTTCATGAAACTTGAACCCTCGTCTCTGTCTCAAGGGACCTTTGCCACTATTAAATACAAATTAATACCACTTACTTTCTCTAAAGTCAATGCAATTGTTATACAAAAAAAAAAAAAAAAATTTACTCTGTACTTTTAACTTTCCAACTGACAACCAAACACTTCTTTACCTATTTAGGGATATTTGTAATATTCTATGAACATACACATAAAATACCAACATGATTACCATGGGAGTGCTGTATTAGAATAATGCATACACATACATGTGTATAGATATAGTACAAAAGAAAAAGACATTACCCTACTCTCTCATCAAAGAACTTGGATTCACTTATTTCTTCTGGTGGCTTTTCTTGTACTATCTTGAACTGCTCCCGCCTCTTGGCACGGATATTTGCCTAAGAATAAATAAATTAATAAATAAATAAATAATAAAAAAATACATAATCATTTATGAAGTCCTTTTTCAAATCAATCTGCACACAGAATCGTTTAAAAATCCTCATTGCTAAAGATATACAGTTTACACTACATATAAAAAACTAGTCATAAAAATCTAGCAGGCATGGTAAATAACAGAATCCCCAGTATTTCTTCTAGTCTCAGACTATAAAGCTGACCTTGAGTGTGGGTGTATACTGAGTGAGCTTTATAGTCTGAGACTAGAAGAAATACTGGGGATTCTTCTAGTCTCAGACTATAAAACTGACCTTGAGTGTGGGTGTATACTGAGTGAGCTGGATAGCCTGTCCTGTAGCCTCGTCTATTATCCTGCCCTCTGCATCCAAGATCACTGGAGCAGGCCTGAAATGTTCGAATCCCATGGTTTATAAACATACACACACACACATGGACCATATAGATCTTTTTAAAATACTTCTTATTAAACAATATTTCTGATTTAATATATAGTGTGCCAGGAATAAAAAATCTACTAAATGTGTGACAAAAAGGGAACACCTCAGTTATAAGATTATAAAAGAGCTTTACAGCAGAATATGTTCAGAAGCTTTTGCTTACTTTGAGGATGACATGACCTTCCTGAAAAAGACAAAAATAAATAACAAGTAAATAAATTGATAAATAAAGACTTTTAGAAAAAAAAATTCCAAATAATGCAAACAGGATTCCAAATTGAGCTTGTATTCAAGTCTTTTTCTTGTAAGTAGAAGGTGCTAAATACCAATATCTAAAATCAAAGACAATGGTATCATCAAACTTAGGACTCCAACTGTAAAGATATCAAATTAAAAACATTTACAACCATCACCATTTTCTCAAACACACAAGTAAACTATAACTACTAGATGCCCCATCTCTTCTTCTACATGACATACCTCAATAGGCCCAATACTTACTGTTGCTGTTGCTGCTGCAGTCCCAGCATGGTAGTGGCGAGTCCAGATGTCATCATCTGTGACTGGATCCTGGCCTGCAGCTCAGCAGCTCTCTTGGCCTTCTCCACAGCATCCTCCATGAACCCCTGGGGCATCTGGGGCACCTGAGACAGAGACCCCGAGGACGCAGGTGGGATCTAAATGTTTATAGTATATGAATTTATACTATCAGAACAGAAAATGATCAAACTGAAGGCTAATTTTGTAACATTTTACTTTGTGGAAATTTTATTAGTATCAGACACACTTCTGAAACTGTTGTTTCGAAGATATTTAAGATTTTTGCTTATGAGATAACTTTTCACTATAATATTTATTCAGCTAAACAGAAATCTTACAACTGCTCCTAACTGTGCCTTTCTTTCCTGGATTGCCTTCTGCGCATTGGCCATAAGCTCCTTGATCTAGCAAACAGAACAACATAACTAATATAAGTATTCTACTACATTTCTTTTACATCTCCCAGTTTAATTTTTCTGATGTCTCTACATTCTTCCATTAAATCATGTCCACAACTGTTCAGAGAATTATGATTCATAAACCAGTTTCTGATTTCATCATTTTTTAGTTTTATAAGACAGTGCTGTAATGTAGATTGAGACTAATGAATTTCTCTGGGATGGTAAAAAAAGGTTTACAGATTGTACTTTTATCAACCCTTCTGAGTAGGGTATACTTTGGTAATAAAATAAAAATTGCTGAAATTTCAAGGAAAACTGATTTTTTCCTATATTAAGGTTTAAGGCCCATTGTAAGCCATTAAACTCAAGTCATTAATTTTGTTTCTGACCAATGCTCTTACCTTATCATGAGCCAGCTGGCCAGGACTAGGTTGTCCAGGTTCTGGGACAGAAACAACCTCTTCCTGAAATTTTTTGGCTTTCTTACTGTCTTTTTCATCTTCATATTTGTCTTCCTAGAATAAATAGGGGAGACAAATGGCTGTTTAGAAAAGAAAAAAGGACGTGAGTGTCTTTCAAGCACCAGTGTGTACCCAAAGTAAGTGGATGCAGATCACCATTTTAGCACACATTTCACTATCTATCGTGCAATGGCAACTTGGGCAACATAATTTTTTTCAATCCTAAAGGAGGCTTTGTTGGCATTAACAAATTTCACCTCTTTGTCCTGTCATCACCAACACAATTGGTCTTAGAGTAAGTTACAACAGATTAGTATCCTATCCAGGTGGAGCGAAAACTTTCAACCTCTTTACACTGACAGCTGTACGTGTTATTTATCTTTTGTGAAATACACACTACTTTGACGTATCATTTCTTCAACACCAACCTTTCTCTTCCTGCTCTTGGAGTGCCTGCCTGAACTCCTGTGATCATCATATGCTGAAAATAGTTTGCCAACAAACCTCTCTGCTTGGGAGTCATCTAATATTTGAGACAGCTTACCTGAAAACAAGCAATGCTTCATTGGATTTTGTTTGTTATTACATTTAAGGAGGATCCTCCCATAATGTTTGCACCCTCTCAGTCTGTAATATTTCTTAATACTTGAGGAATTAATTCAGTTTAGAAGCACAGCCAGATTGGAGAAAAAGTAAGAGTGAAGAAACTGTCTTTATTCAGTTAGGCACCGACTTAACTTCACACTCACAGTCACTTTCACTACCACACTTACTGATTGCTTTCCTTTCATCATAGCCTTTATCAATAACATTTAAAGACGCTGTGACAAGAGAGGGTTCACTGAATCCAAGGAACTTCTGTACAGTCTTATCAATCACTGGCTTAAGCTCTTCTAGTTCACGTCGTGACAGAGACATTATCACTGCTTTTCTCTGAAAAAAAATGAGAAAATGGTTACTATAATGAATATGAAATGGGCGGTAATTAAAAGCTCAAAATGATACAACTGTATTCACCATTTGAATCGATTAAGGGGATGCCATTATCCTTTTTTATCGAGGTTGACATGCCTTGTGAGTGTGCGCAATTTATATCCTTATAAGAGTTTACAACATCCATAAAATGATACAGCAAAGAGACAACTGACGCGTTAAGCGAATATGCTTTGCAACATGTAAACTTACAAAATAAATAAATGCAACTGAGACAGGCCGACTCTAGTCACAATAGCAATACAGTTGCACTGCAAGTGTATCCAAAGTCATCAAGCAACAAAGGCTGAGTTAATTAAGTTAAGTGGAAACTTACTGCTTCACTCTAGGCTGAACTTTTCACTAGGTAAAAAGAGAGAATATACACTTCACATATTCGGATTCGCACACTACACGTTCAATATGGCCGACAGCAAATACAGCATTCCGATTGGTCGACTTGCCTGTACTCTTGCCTACTCTTGCCTGTACCGTGTGTAACAGAGGGCAGCACTTACCTGAGTTCTCCAAAGACGAGCTAAAGAAAGAAAATCCAAAGTTACCCCGGGCCCGGCGCAAGCGTCTCGATTCCATAACTCGTCCATACTCGCCCCATACACTGTAGCCTCTATGTGATATCGCTATTCGCATTACGCAATGCATGCTTTCGAGATACGAGTCCAGCTTCGCAATATTTAATTCTTTAAAAAAAACTTCCATATGATGTAACGAAAAAAGTGTGGAGCGTACGGAAATTTCTACTGACATCAAGATATATCCTTCAGAAGCAAAATGAAAGAAAAATCAATGTTAAATTCAAAAACAATCCTAAAATATCAGTCAAATGCATTTCCCTCGAATGCGACAAATAATTGATAACGTCGAAGAAAATAAATGCACTGAAGACTATAATTTTTTTAAATATAAACGTTTAATATTACTGAATTTAACATATAAAAGTAACTTTATTTAAGCCTGTGTGTTAGTAAATAACTTTATATCACGCATATAAAACATATTTTATAAGGGCATAGGGACATTTCTTTTTTCAAATGGGGCTTTGTTTTTGCCTTTTTATACAAATTAAATGTGTAATACATAAATCATTTCACAATTATTTACTGTTAAAAAATAAATGAATAAATAAGATCCAATTTATAAAAGCATCCATGGAGGCTTAAAATGATAAAAATACTTTCAGGATCACAACAATAACAACAACACTAATAATTATAATAATGGATAAGCGTTTTGAATGAATGAAAGAAAGCTGACATTAGACACTCAAGAGGAAAGTAGCGAAATAGCGATCAATATTGGTTTCAGCGAGTCTTTTGCACTATGTCTTTGAATAGCAGTTATTGAAAAAGCGTATAGTATTAAAACTCAGTAAACTGTTTTGTCAAGGCATCTTTGTAAAATATCGGTTCAGTTTTATTTGTTTTGTCTATTTTATAGAAAGAGAGGGAAAGGGCTTACAATGAAAAATAAGAGTTTTAATGCCTAATATACAAAAATGATACAAAGATAGGCCTACATGTAGCCTTTATGGCCTTAGATAGATCTCATGGTAAAATGAAACTGGAGTGCTTGATGGCCCGCCTTGGCCACAGGAATCACTATGCAGGGGCGGATCCAGGATTATTTGAAGGGGGTTCCGCAGATGCGAAGCCGACCCCCCCCCTCCCCCACTTGGCGTGGTATTTTAGAGGGCGAATGGTGCCATTTGGTACGGTTTAGAACTATATGATTCAGCTAGACAAAATTCTAATTTCAAGGAGGGACCAGAAATCGAAGGGGAGGGGGGGGGGGTCAGGACCCCCCTGACCCCCCCTCTAAATCCGCCACTGTTATGTATGAATACCAGTCAGTTTGGACATAACTTCTTTTCTGAGAGTGATTCTTTTTCTATAAACGTCGTCATGGGAATAAGAGGAAAGAAAAAATCGTAGAATTCTCTTAAACGCAACAGAAAAACCCATTAAGATATCGAGGACAGTATATTGGGACAGTTCTTTAGGGAATTTGTGTCCATCACTCAAATCTGCATCGAATCCAGAGGTAAGAGAGAGTCAGCGCACAGTCGCAGGTCTTTTCAGTGGTACGTGTATATATTCTATTGATCATAGGTGTAAACAGACGTACCGGTATACGTGCTACGTCTGTTCGCACGAGCGGATACAGTGTTTTAATAAATGTGAAGCATCAAGATTGCCGACGTTAACGTCTCAAAATGCAGGCGCACACACAAACAAACATTCGAAAAGAAATGAGATTGGATATTCTGAGAACAGTCTGAGAAATACGTTGAGCTTGAATCAAATCCACTCTTTGCATGTGGTGACTCGCTTTTCAAGCACCTAAATTCCAACTGGTACGCAGGTGCGGAGAATTATTTCCTAATACTTCTAAAAGCACTTGCATGATCAGCACGCACTTGTAAACCCATTATGTTGGCTGACTATTTAACGTATGTGGCTCATGTTCAGTCTACACTTCTGATTTTTTATTGTCGTTCTCTTGTGCTTTGAGTGTTAGGCCATCATGCTCTGTAAGTCGTAACATGTGCGGTCCAGTTCGATGATACTTCAACATTACATACGCTGTGATCAATGTTAGAGCCCCTAGGATTAAAAATACAAGACCTATAGCGCGGAATGTCGCAGGTTGGTAATTCCAAAAAACTGTCTCTTTCCCTAAACTGTAAACAGAGCTCGAGAAAGTCAAGAAAACCCCTGCGGCCCAGCTTCCAATACTGACCAGTAAGAGCCTTTTTCCCGCCTTATGGTAAGGGTTCAACTTTGATGCCAGTTTCAGATCCCTCAGCCTGCGCATGCGGCGCATTGTCCAGAGTTTTTCACGAATGTTGCACTCGTCGTTAAACTGACGCATATGCCTGCGAAGGGAATAATACTGCAGCTCTTCCTCTGTCTGCATTGTGTTATCCTAGAAGTCATCCCTGTGCACATAAACTGTAAAAGCAACAACATGTCAGGTTATTTGTAGCGACCGTGAGACAATGGCCTGAAGCCATCCCTGTGATGCAGCAAATTTAGGCAGCCCATACTTTGACAAATTAAATGCAGTCCCACCGTGTGACACAGATTCACCACTCCTATTATTCGTAATTGAAATGAGACACAGCCCACGATGGTGAAGTCAAACATTCGGACCTGGATTTTTGTCATAGCGATTTCCTCTCACACCTACATGTGCTCTCTTGTAACACTGTGCACACCGGAATATGAGAAAAAACTAGTTTTGCTCGACATTATGAAATACAAGCTTTCGTCTGTGTTAGAACGTTTTAATATATGGACGCAGCTGTAACTGTAGCTATTGGAAATGGAATGTAATCCACAATCAGCATGCAAATATATGACATGCAGACACTGTATTTCTGTCAACGTAACCGAGCAGCCCGCATTTGGGAGATCAAACGAAATCATTTTTCACTGAGGTTAGTGGAGTTATATAAGAAGGTCCCTACTCGTCTGCGTATCGCAACCAAAACAATATTTCACTGAGATTGGTGAACCAGAGAGAGGGGGAGGAGAGACATGCAATATTTTCTTTTTTAAGTGAAGGAAGCTGTCAACATCAAGAAAACATCAATGCTATAAATCAGTGGAAGTGGCACGGTTTCGATCAAGGCTTTGAGTCTGATTTCATTTTTGTTGATTCTCTGTCGATCGCTGCATTTATTTTCTCTGTTTTGTTTTTGAACTGTTTTCTTTCTGTATTTTTTGTATTAAGCAGAACAGTCCGGGGAAACTTCCACTGCCAAAACTAAGGCTTTTTTCAACACAACACGATTATTCATATAATATTGGTTATTATTATGATTATATGATTATTCGCATAATGGGAAAGCGGGAATAGCTTCATCTTATTTTCAGTGATGAGACATCATGGCTGAGTTTTATATCAAAAGACTCAAACACGTGAAACTAAATGCAAATGTCGTGACCAAATATGCTCGAATGAAAAGGTAGTTGACATCACGCAAGAACATAAGCCTGTCACACCATAGACCAGAAGGTCGTGATAAATCATGATCAGATGAAAATGCGAATATATCAGCACTGAACATCCTTTCCATTATAATAGGTTTTTGGTTTTGCTCTCTCTCTCTCTCTCTCTCACACACACACACATTCATTATCATTACTATTTTGCGATTGACTTATTATTGTGGTCAAAGAAAATTGCTCACTGCGTCATAAAGATTTGCTGTTTTGCTGTGGTAGACCCAGGTTTAGAGAATTTCAGGTTCGTGTGTAAAGACAAACGATAGGGATGCCCCCCTTTCCATTTTTGTAAAAAGCCAGATCCTTCCTTTTTAAGAGAGAGAGAGAGAGAGACGTTCTAATTGGTACACATCTGTGTTTCACATTCTTCAATCATCACGTAAGGTGTCTACGTTGGATTATTTGAGGGAGGCCATTCGCCTTTGCAAGTGTAGCAGTGACGTATAATAGGGGTTATACGTAATATGTAAAACGTACCTCATGCTCATACAATTAATCTCTTGTATATGCATATCGTTTCTTGTTTACATGAAGGAGTAATACGCACACCGAGTGTCAGGACTGCAAAGGTTGATAGTCATAAATGAATTATTCTCGATCATAAAATGAACAGTTAACATAATGGAAAAAATTATATATTAAACACCAGCACAATACTAGTGTGTGCGGTATATACATGTATATAACAATTTCTTACTGCAGTCAACACAAATCATCAAACATGACATCGGTTGCCCCCTAAACCTCCAATATTAATCAACACTGTAGAGACGCAATATTAATACGCCTGACAGCGTGCTATGTTATTTGGTCTGTTCACATGGGTTCTAAATTAAAAAGTTTGGTTCTTAACTAGAGTGCGTCGACAACCATACACTGTATTCATTCACATAGATTTAAAGACATAAAATGAGATATTTATATAGATAAATATAAAAAGAATTTACCTGAATGAATATGGAACTTTCTTTGAAATTGTTAAATAAAGTTGTAATGTGCATCGTGTGCCTTTAATAGGTTCTATTGTAGCTCTAAAGTCTTCTATTTGATGATTGCGCTGTCACTTACAGCCCCAGTAAATTGTTTTGAGACGGACCTGAGCAATTTGGATTGACACTGTCCACATTTCCACTTGAAAAGACGCATCAGGGAGAATGCACACTATTTTTTTATTTATTTATTGCTTTCCGAAACCCCGTTCTTATCATAATGTAAATGTCACCGTAAGCCTTCACCTGAAGCGCCGAAGAAGCTTGGAATATCCCAAGATGGTATCGAATCACACGAATTCCACTGGTCAGATGGCCCCTGTTAAATATGAACATTAATCTGACTTTGAATTGTGATAAGCCTCGTGGATCAAAATACTGGGGTGACAAAAAGAGGGGGGGGGGGGTGTTGGAAGTTTAATGGTTGGAAAGCTTCAAAACTATCAGTTCATCAAGCTTATTATATGTTTCCACTTTCAT